CACCATGTTAGCCAGGATGGTCTCGATCTCCTGACCTCGTGATCCGCCCGCCTCAGCCTCCCAAAGTGCTGGGATTACAGGCGTGAGCCACCGCTCCCGGCCGTACGATGTTTTCTTAGCTCTGGCAAGGCAATGCATTTCTGCCTACTAAAGAAATTAAGTGTTCCATCAGAGAGGATTGATGGACTGGGATACATAAGAGCATTTGCATGACAAGCTACAATTAGGCACAAAAGGGGAAGCTGTATATTGGAAAACATATGCAAGAGATAAGTGTAACTGATCAAAGCTCAATGGCAGGCCGGTAAGTAGCTGGAGACAGCGTAAAACCATGGAAGTAGGATGAACATTGGAGTCCATCAGGACTGGGGCTGCTCCTTATGACTTATGTGATGGAACCTCTTCAGTCAGTTTCCTCCCCTTTAAAATGGGAATACTAGGCCAGGCGCAGTGGCTCATGCCTGTAATCCCAGCACTTCGGGAGGCCAAGGTGGGTGGATCACTTGAGGTCAGGAGTTCAAGACCAGCCTGGCCAATATGGTGAAACCCCGTCTCTATTGAAAATACAAAAATTAGCTAGGCGTGGTAGCATGTGCCTGTAATCCCAGCTACTTGAGAGGCTGAGGCAGGAGAATTGCTTGAACCTGGGAGGCAGAGGTTGCAGCGAGCTGAGATTGTGCCACTGTACTCCAGCCTAGGTGACAGAGTGAGAGTCTGCTTTCAAAAAATAAAGAAACAGGCTGGGCACGGTGGCTCACACCTGTAATCCCAGCACTTTGGGAGGCCGAGGCGGGCGGATCACAAGGTCAAGAGATCGAGACCATCCTGGCCATAATGGTGAAGCCCCGTTTCTACTAAAAATACAGAAAAAAATTAGCTGGGTGTGGTGGCACATGCCTGTCCTCCCAGCTACTCAGGAGGCTGAGGCAGGAGAATTGCTTGAACCTGGCTGGTGGAGGTTGCAATGAGCCAAGATCATGCCACTGCACTCCAACCTGGTGACAGAGCAAGACTCCATCACAAAAATAAATAAATAAATAAATAAATAAATAAATAGGGAATATTATCTGTTCACAGAGATGTCATGAGGATTAAACAAGAGGCACAATGGCACTCAAATCATGGTTCCCTTCCCTCCTTGCTTCAGTTACGAAGACTTTCAAAATAAGAGCCAACATTTTTGAGTGCTTGTGCCAAATACTTCACTTACATTATCTTATTTAATCCACTCAAAACCCCAAGAGTTCAGTACAATAATTATTCCCATTATATAGATAAGTAAGTTGAGACCTTGAGAAGTTAGGTGACTTACCCCAGGTTTGAATGTTTCTTAGTAGAGTTGGGATTTGAACTTAGCTCTTCCTTTATTCAGAGTCCAATTTTGTAACCCCCATGGCACACTGGCACTCAGTAAGACGTGGTCTAAGACAATGAATGGACATACTGTCCACAAGAAGAACAGGAAATCACTTAAGAAGAAGCCAACTGTAGAAGAGTTGTGGAGGAATGCGTACACCTCTCAGGAGGGATGAAGGCTTTGTAAATGGGATGGAGCTTTTCTAGAATAATCTAGAGATGTTCTACAGCCAGTGTGGTAGAACTGTAGCCCCTTTGGGCCAGAGAGGACAGCTGCCCTGGTGAAGGAGCACAGAACCTGACCCACTGTGCCTCAGCTGTGGGATGCTGGCTGGGCCCTTCACCTCTTTGAGTCTCAATTTTCTCATACACAAAACAAAACAAAAAGATAATAATAGTTCAATCTCTGAGGGATTTTGTGATCAGACTCATTCACTGATTAACTGATTAATTGGTTAATGCGTTCATTCCCTATGTATGTTTTGGATATTGACTGTGTGTCAGTCACTGTGCTGGGAGTGCAAAGAAAGCTAAGATGTAGTCCCTGACATTGAGATACTTGTAAATAACATCATCCATGTGAAAATGCTTGGTAAATTGCAAAGCATCATATAAATAATACTTAATAGCATTATCTCCTTGGTTGGGGGTAGGGAAGGAGGAGGAGGACATGCCCCAATAAAATAGTTAAAATATTCTTTATAGTAGTAAAAACTTGTTGTCAACACAAATGCCCCATGACAGAAGAATGGCCAAGCAAAGAACATTCCATAACTCTTAAATACGTTGGACCCTCATTCTTCCAAAGTAAGCATAGCCATTTGGAAACGTGGATTGTTTTCTCTTTGGGGCTTGATCTGTTTGGTCTATTAGAGGTGACAGAAGCAGAGGAGACAGTCTCCCTGCAGAATGTTAATGACAGTTCCAGAAAGTGTTTGCAAATCAAACTAGCATGAGATGGTGTCTAAGCCTGGGTCTGAACATCAGTGCAATGATTGGAAAATGGAAAACTATCAGTCATGTAACTGAGTATTTCAACTGTGAGATTACAAACAACCAATCAGATTTCATCCCCTGCCCCTGCCCACTGATTTGGGGGTTGTCTTGGCTTTGGGTCCCCACTGCCCTACTGGGTGCGTGGTCTTCACTCTGCTTTTCATTTCAGACTACATCAATCTGTTCAGCACCAAGTGTCACGGCTGCGATTTCCCCGTGGAGGCCGGCGACAAGTTTATTGAAGCCCTGGGCCACACCTGGCATGACACCTGCTTCATTTGCGCGGTATGTGTCTAGCTTGGGGCTCTGGCTTTCTGAGAAGAGGCAGGAGGGAGGAAGTGGGAACCAGATGACCACCCTCTACATCCCTTGCCATGCTAGCTTTCTGACATCCTGATCATTTTTAAAAGCTGGCAAACACCATGATGCCTCGATACATCACAGTCGAACAAAGTTTCATTCCTAATAATTATTTATAAGCCAGTGTGGCTTTGTTACTTTCCATTTCGTTAAAGACAACAGAGTGTCCCAGGGTTTGTCAAACCAGCGGCTTGTCTCACCAGCAGTGTTGTCAGTGGGCAAGAGCAGCAGATGATGCTTGGCTTTGAGAGGGGCAGTTGACTTCCCATGGTTATATGTCACTTCAGATATGATGGAGTGACTTGAGGGTTTTCCCCTCCAAATTGTTACCCCAAACACTAGATTGGAGCTGACTAATCCTATGAAAAGCTGAGACAGGGTTTCTCTTGGTAGAACCTTTGGAAAGCAAGACTGAGTATCATTTTATTTTCCTAAGTGGTCCTTTCTTGATATATAGCTGCCAGGAGATAAGCCCTGGATTAACTATTAATTGTGTGCTACTTATTTCTGCTGAACAGCTGCGTCACTTTTAGTATGAGACTGGCATTTTCCTTCTGAAGGTTTTGGGTTGGGGTGGGCACCTGATGGTGTGCCTACAGGCATTTAGACTCTGAGGGAGAGGTAGGAAACAGTCATCCCTGAGAAAGCCCCCTAATGTCAATCTGTCATTGACTAATCTTGATTTGATAATTTTTTCTTTTTTTTTTTTGCAATGGAGTTTCTGCTCCTGTTGCCCAGGCTGGAGTGCAGTAGAGCGATCTCGGCTCACTGCAACCTCTGCCTCCTGGGTTCAAGCAATTCTTCTGCCTCAGCCTCCCGAGTAGCTGGGACTACAGGCACACACCACCATGCCTGGCTAATTTTGTGTATTTTTAGTAGAGAGGGGATTTCACCATGTTGGCCAGGCTGGTCTCAAACTCCTGACCTCAGGTGATCCACCCGCCTCAGCCTCCCAAAGTTGTTGGAATACAGGTGTGAGCCACCGCGCCTGGCTGATTTGGGAAAATTAAGGCACCCCTACTATTTTTTTTAACCAGAGTTTCTCAAGGTAAATTTTGGAAATGTATGAAATATCTGTACAGTTTTTACTTGAATAATTTTTATAGACTTATGACATAGGATGACCCTAGTCATCAAGTTTACGGACATATGCTTTCGGTTCTACACTTTGCTTCCATACCCTGCCATCTGTGGGACGCACTGTATTCACTCTGTGTGTTGGTTTGCTAGGGCTGCCTTGACAAATTACTGCAAACTGATGGCTCAAACAACAGAAATGAACACTTTCACAGTTCAGGAGGCCAGAAGTCCTAAATCAAGGTGCTGACAGGAGGCCATACTCTCTCTCCGAGCTTCTAGTGGTTGCCAGCAATCCTTGGCATTTCTTGGCTTGCAGCTGTGTAACTCCAATCCCTGCCTCCATTATCACAAGGCTGTCTCCCCTCTGTGTGTGTGTCTTCACATGACATTCTCTTCTGAGTGTGTCTGTCTCTGTGTGGTTCTCCTCTTTTTTTTTTTTTTTTTTTTTTGAGACGTTTTTTTTGAGACGGAGTCTTGCTCTGTCACCCAGGCTGGAGTGCAGTGGCGCGATCTCCACTCACTGCAAGCTCCGCTTTTTTTTTTTTTTGAGATGGAGTTTCACTGTTGTTGCCCAGGCTGGGGTACAATGGCACGATCTTGGCTCACTCCTAACTCTGCCTTCTGGCATGTGAATTTTGTGGAATGCAGTTCAACCCCTTAACACTCTGATTTTCCAGCTCTTTGAACAGATTCTCTAGTTATCTTTTAGGGTGTTTTAAATACATCCCCTCCAAAAAGAGACAATGGTGTAAATATACTGGCTTTGGGGTTGTCCCCTGCAGAGTTATAGCTCCCCTGTGTCAGGCACAGCACAGGGCTCTCTGAACCTTACATTCAAGCCATGACTTGTCTAGTCCTGAGGCACTGCCTGCACATCTGGTTACCCAACTTCTGGAAGGATCCAAGAGACCTGGGGAAGGTCCAGGAAGACAGTGGCACAGAAGGCCTGTTTTCCACGGGCGGGCTGATGAGAGGTCTGTGTCACATGCAGAGGGAATTGTGGCAAAGGTGAGTGTGGGTCTGCTCCTGCAAGCCTCGCAATTTCAGCTGAGTCACAACAGCAAAAGTCCAAGAGAGAGACCAGAAGAAGCCGTAAAGCTTGGGGTGGCTCAGGCTGATATTACAAATAAGTTCCAGAGAGTGAAGTCTAGCCTGTGAGAGGCCCATAGCACTGCCCTTTGGAGGATCAGCATGGAGATCGTTAGGTCTCCCTCCAAAGCAGCCTGCATGGTACTCACTGCCCTGTCAACATATAGTGAAGTGGAACATGGTTGTTTTTTTTTGTTTTTGTTTTTGTGAGGCAGAGTCTTGCTCTGTCGCTCAGGCTGGAGTGCAGTGGCACGATCTCAGCTCACTGCTACCTCCACCTCCCAGGTTCAAGCAACTCTCTGCCTCAGCCTCCTGAGTAGCTGGGATTACAGGCGCCCGCCACCAGGCCTGACTAATTTTTGTATTTTTAGTAGAGATGGGGTTTCACCATCTTGGCCAGGCTGGTCTTATGAGCCACCCACCTCAGCCTCCCAAAGTGCTGGGATTACAGGTGTGAGCCACTGCACCCAGCTGGAACGTAGTTTTAACATTGGGAAGAAATCTTTTGATTGGAAAACTTTGAGGGACATGAGGGATTTTTTTTTTTTTTGGTCCTCTTTCTGTCACTTCATATTTCCAAATCACTTTTGATGAGCATGTATTTTCCTGTAACTTCCAAAAACTTAGTAAGAGAAAGATCTGGAGTAGCTCTCCCAGCCGATGTGCTGTTTTCTCACCAGTGAGATCTCAGATAGCACATTTTTAGACTAACTCAGTTTACCAAATATTCCTGGCATTTGGGGAATACAAGAGTGTCCCAGAACAAGTCTCTACCTTGACGGAATCTAGAATCTTGAAAGGCGAACAAAGCAACAGATGTGAGCAATTCAAAAGTAGAACAGGACAGTACCCCTCAAGTCCAAAGCATATAAAGTGAAGGCTGGGAGCCTGAGAAGTGCAGTGTGAGTCAGGGTGAAAGTTAAGCTTCTGTCTGGCACTGACACTTGAGTTCCAATGGAAAGGGTCTGACTTTTTTTTTTTTTTTTTTTTTTTTTTT